TTGACTTAAAACCTGAGTAAAAACCTTGACAGAATTTGGAGCGTCTCCTTCAGACCTTGGAGAACGCATTCATACAAGGAGTATGCACACATGTCATTCATGTATTTGAAGTGGGCGCCATTCTGGGGGGACCCCTGCCCGCCCTAATTTTGGTAACGGGTTGCACAGCGCATGAATACTTAACCATGCTTTTTGTGGACCAATCACATCACACAACAGAATCAGTGTCCCGGTGAGGCTAAGCAAAACGGCATCTCAAAGGAAAACCAGATGAATTTAACAGCTATCATCCAGACACACAGAGTCGCAGACTTGCTTGGGAAACATTGGAATCTTTCATTACCAAAGATAGGGTGGATATTGGTTTCTTTATCTTCAATCCCCCCAGAAAGGAAATGGTCATAGCCTACAGGTTCACTATCCATTAACCCCAACACTCCTAAATCCTTCACCTGTTGGAGGACTGAGGAGTGTTAGGGTTAACGACCCTTGGAAGGTAAAAAAGCAGATGATTACTTTCCAGTCGCCTTCGTAAAATCTGCTTTTCCAGTATCTGGAATGCAGAAAGTACAGTCAAACCTCGTTAATAAGAGGTCCTTCAGACTTAGCAAATTACCTTGTTATAACAGGAACCTTGTATTATCAGGAATGAAAACAATGAAATGAAAAAAAACCAAAGGGTTGGGACTTTAACATGTCCTTGTTTAAGCAGAATCTTGTATCAACAGTGCTCTTATGAACAAGGTTTGACTGTACATGTAGAGCAGTTGTCAAAATGTTTGATCCAGTTTTCTGCGTTTTTGGCAAGCAACCAGCAGATAGCCACTTTTCAGCAACTAGCAATCAGAGGGAAGGTAAAATCTGATTTTCTGGTAGCAGAAACCAGAAACAAAATAATAGCTGTGCTTCCTATTACATGAAAAAAAAAAAAAAAAACGCTTAAATGGGAGTCTCCTCCTTCAAAGGATATAAGATAAAAATAGATTTCCAGCGAATCGTTTTTTTGTTATTTTTCACAAAACAGATTCAACTACCACACAACGGCTTTTGATGTGTTCGAAGAACCTTCAGCATTCTTTCCAAGGACGGCGCCCGAAACGCCAAAGGGGCGATCTTCCATCAGTCTTTTTCTAACGGATAACAGCATTTTGTTATATAAGAATTGCAAACAAATTTGAGATCTGGCAAAATTTCATTACAACGTATTTACACTACGGCTTTGATCAAACATAATCAAACAAAAGGCAAATTAGGCTACTGCTTGAACCAAATTTTGTCATGCACTGGCCTTGCTGCACTGGCCCGCCTGGCAAAATCAGTTTTCCCCCCAGAGTTGCCTTTGATCGAGCACGAGTCCGACTCTGATCAGCATCCAATCAAAATTTGTTTTGCACGGCCATTTGCGACATCGTTGGCCTAATATGGAACATAAGGGCGTGGCTATCGGAGATTGGCAACCATAATGCTAAAACTGAATATACATGTAAGCACAATTGGATGTATGAGAATTTAGCATTGTTGTGCAGCGGAAATGCCGTACGTTACATGTTCTCGGTTGTTCATTAGTGAATTCTCACCACGTGCTTTTAATTTTTACAACCATCGCGTGATGCGGGGCCAACATAAGAGTACTGTACATGTACATGTACATGGTACATGTACAGTACCTTCCTGATGCACATGTGCTGAGCGCTGAGCACACGCTGGGGCGGCATAACTAGTTATCCATTTTTCGTCGTGTTTGCTTTGTTATCAGGTTTCCTTGCATGCATTCTGTGTGCAAGTAATGCCATGTCATTTTAAAGCCGAACCTCTGAACAAGCCAGTTTGGTTCGCGGTTTGAAAGTGCCATGTTCGATGATTTTTGGTTCGTTTCGGCGGTTCGGCTGCAGCACGACTTTTCCTCTGTTCACTAATGGCTGAAAAGTGGCCATCGGCTGATTGCCTGTCAAAAATGTAGAAAATGAACATGTAGTTATACATGTACTTTGCTGCTTTCAGGATACTGGGAAAGCAGATTTTACAAAGGCCACTGGAAAGTGCTTTTCTCCTTTAGGGGAGGCAGAAAATTGGATCGAACGGTTTGACAACTGTTAGTTATACATGTACTTTGCTGCTTTCGGGATACTGGAAAAGCAATTTTTATTATAAAAGCGACCAGAAAGTAGCCACCTGCTTTTCTCCTTTTGGGGAGGCAGAAAAGTGGAT